TTTTGATCCACTCAATTTACTGATGGGTGAAAGGTTTTCTTAAGCTCCCCCGAGGAAGAAATGCCAATCAGCCACAAAGTCAGGCAATATAGAGCTTTACTGGGGTTTGCACACCCAGGTGAGGCTCTCCGGTCCTCAGAGTGGGGCCGGAAAAGTCGCACCCAAGCAGGGAATATGGCAGTTTCATTTTGGTTGGCTCTCCTCGTGGGAGCTGGGGATTGGTCTCCTTTGAACAAAGCAGCAATATATCATTGGTGGCTTTCCTCGGGCTCAGGTTGCTATGCAGATATCCATTTTGGCAGAGCCCGCCCTTTCGGCTCTCTGGTCTGACCTCAGCTGTCTTCTGGGTTGTAGTTCTGCCATTTTGTGCTACCCTGCCCATCCTGACATTCCAACCTCTTTGATAGGATAAGGGGAGCCGTGTTCAGTCTGGCTACTTCCTGCTGTCAGGGGAGCATGGAGGGGAGGGGCTGGAGGTCCGCTGTTTCTGGTTTGTTAGGAAGGGGCAAGTGGTTTGGGCCTGAAGCAGAGCCGGGTTTTCCAACAGCGGGAGGATAAAGGAGGAGGAAGGGGTCAGGTTTTGTGTGATCTGAAGAGTGGCACCTAATAATTGGAGAACATCCCATCCTAGAAGCAGAATAGGGCAGGAGGGTATGACAAGAAATGAATGGGAAAGGGAAAGCCGTCCAGACTGCACTTAAGCAGGGGGGTTTGCCATGGGCGAGACAGCGTCCTGTCAACCCCCATGACCGAGATCTGGGAAGGAGTAAGAGGTCCTGAAAAAGATGGTAAACAGAGTAGGTAGCCCCATGTCCACTAGGAAAGAGATGGACTTAGCCACTACCTGCAGCGTTACCCTGGGCTCGGCGAGAGTGATGGGGGTCTTCAAATCTGGGCCACTTCAATTGTCTAGGAGTCCGAGAAGTTCCAGTGCAGCCAGGGAAGAGTCCACACCTTGATCGGCTGGTCCCCCACATGGAGGGGCCAGGGACGAGCCTCTAAGGGGACAGGCATTTCTCCAGTGGCCAAGCTGTCGGCAATCTGGGCAAGGCTTCGTTGGTGGCCGAGGTTGAGGACACTGGCGGGCCCAGTGCCCTTCTTTGCCACACTTGAAACAGGTCCCCGGTGGGGTGTTCTTTGGCCCGGACTTAGGCTTCAACCCCCTTGCTGGTGTTTGCCGCCTGCTGCAGGGCCCCTAGCATGGCTTGGGTTTACAGGGCTACCTTTTGCTGTAAGCTAACCTGGCGGGCAGCCTCAGCCTCTGCTTCCCGGTTATTGAAAACCTTAAATGCCATATTTACCAGATCTCGGATGGGGGTTTAGGGGCCATGCTCAGCCTTTTTCAGTTTCTTTCTAATATCTGGGGCCAACTGCAAGATAAAGTGAGTAGCTAAGACATTGGCTCCAGTGTTAGAAGCCGGGTCAAGGCAGGTATGGAGCACCATTGCTTTGGTTAGTCTGTTGAGAAACAGCGCCAGATTTTCTCCGGGGCCTTGGGTGACCTCTCTGAGCTTATCATAAGTGACTGCTTTCTGAGCAGATTGGTGCATACCTGCTATCAGGCACTCGACCATTTGGTTGCAGCGCCTCCAACCTTCCTGTCCTACCTGGTAGTCCCAGTCTGGTTCCACCTCTGGCACGGCTTCAGCTCCTACTGGCATGAGGGGATTGGTGGCGTGTGTTTGGTCTGCATGAGCTTTATCTGCAGTCCAGACGCGGTCGTGCTTGTCCGGGGTCATGGTGGAAGTTAAAATGATGTGCAGGTCATGCCATGTGAGGTCAGAAGCCTGGACTAGGTACTGGAATTCTTTGATAAAATTGGTAAGGTTAGTGGAAAAAGAGCCTAGGCATTTCTCAATTGAAGAAAGGTCAGTTAGTGAGAAGGGGACATGGACCCGAACGACACCTTCTGTTCCTGCCACTTCCCAGAGGGGGCAAATGCGGGAGTCTAGGGGTTCTAGATTCAGGCAGGAGCGGGTGTGTGAGCTGACCAGGGAAGAAAGGTCTTCAGAGGGAGGGGGAGAATCCAGCTGAGAGGGGAGGGCCAGGGCTGGAGTAGCCGTTGGCAGGAGCTGATAACAAGGGGGAGAAGGAAGGAAAGCAAGATCTTCAGGGGAATCAGAAAAGGAAGAGGGAGATTCTGGGGCAGTAGGCTTAGGAGACCTAACAGGTTCAGGGTTCCCTCGGGCGAGGAGAACTTGGGCTGTGGAGCACTGGGGGCACAGATCTGGGTGGGAGTGTAAGGCCCAAAAGCCCTGAATGTACTGGACCTCAGACCATTTGCCAGTCCTTCTGCAAAAATTATCTAGGTCAGTAAGGGTGACGAAATTGAAAGTGCCTCCAGGAGGCCAGGTTTCACGATTATTGAGCTGATATAACAGCCAGGCCATAGTGGGTAAAAAAAATCATCCATTTTCGCTTAAGGCCAGGATCAATTGTTGGCAAATTTCTCAGGAGGCACCCTAGAGGTGACTTAGGGTCTGGTTTGGACTCCTGCCCCCCCATTCCTGGTCCCACGAGGAGCAGCAGATGGTAATCAGTGTCCCACAACCCAGTCTGCTGATGCGGTCGGGTCAAAATGGGGATCTAGGCCCAGGGACGTCTCCTACGGTGCCTAGAGCCTCTCAGCAGAGGGAGAGCAGCCTCTCCCGGAAGGGTCACCCCAACGCAGCGCTGCGATTTGATGGAGAGCAGTCTCTCCCAGCAGACGGGGGCCTGGAATCAGTGTTCAGGGGCCAGAAACTTAAGGGCAATGGCACTTACCCTGGTTCTTTGTCTGGACTGGCGGGGTGGCCGCGAGACCTTGGGGAGTAGGGAGAGGAGTGGTGTTCAGCAGACAACAACTCCTCCCAGATTTGGCACCAAATGAAAGGTCTTCTTAAGCTCCGCCGAGGAAGAAATGGCAGTCAGCCACAAAGTCAGTCAATATAGAGATTTATTGGAGTTTGCGCACCCGGGTGAGGTTCTCTGGTCCGCAGAGTGGGGTTGGGGAAGTCGAGCCCAGGCAGGGAATGTGGAGGGGTTTCATTTTGGTCGGCTCTCTTCGTGGGAGCTGGGGATTGGTCCCCTTTGAACAAAGCGGCAATATATCACTGGTGGCTTTCCTTGGGCTCAGGTTGCTCTGCGGATATCCGTTTTCGCAAAGCCCGCCCTTTCGGCTCTGGTCTGACGTCAGCCGTCTTCTGGGTTGTAGTTCAACTGCCATTTTGTCCTACCCTGCCCATCCTGACAATGGGCACTTAGGTTGCTTCCAGCATTTGCCTATTGTAAATTGTGCTGCTATGAACATTGGTGTGCATAGGTTCTTCTGAATTAGTATTCTGAGATTCTGAGGCTATAATCCTAGCAGTAGAACTGCTTGGCGAAAAGGCAGTTCCATTTTTAGGTATTTGAAAAAGAAACATTCCAGCTTTTCTGCTCACCTCCTCAGTGCTCCTGTCCCCTGTTGTCACAGTAACATGAGACTGGAGCTCAGTCCTCCTTGATCACTGATGGCTTACTGGGGTGGCTCACCAACAACAGAGTGGGACTGGAGGACACCGTGCCAGCAGGATGGTGCCACATTAGGTTGAGGCTTGAAAAAATCAAGGGCCTGCATATAGCGGCCAGAACTGGAGGATCATTGTTCAGGAGAGCTGCAGAGGTTGGGTCAAGAGGAATGAGGCCTGGCACTGGGGAAAGGGTCTGTCAGTCTTCAGCTTCACTTACAGGAGATGATGACAATGTATCTTGTGCTCCTCTGGACCTAGGGGTGGTTTGAGTGGGTCCCCAGTACTGGAGATAACCCCAACCCTTGCCAAACTCAGTTCAACTCTCACTTCTGTGATCCCTGTGAAGCCTGCCCAGGCTGAGCTTGGTGGCTACATTCACTAGTAGTAACCATTGAGCACCAACTCTATGTCAGTACTGTGCTGGGGACCAGGCATGTGAAATCAGATGTCATGGTTTCTGGCTCTGAGGAGATAGGTAAGGGAAACTGGGGCAACAGTTACAGTGGAGCATGAGAAACGACAGAAATATAGCACTGTGTGGTGTGGGGAGGGGCGCAGCATGCTTCCGGGGCTCCCAGGGGGAATAGTGCTGAGACTGAGTATCCCACCCAGGATCTGTGCTCAATAATAGATCACTGAGGACTTTTTTATTCCCTAGGTAGAACTGTTGAGAAATAGATCTAATTTAAAAAATAACTGACATGAGGGCATTCTCAGAGATGTTTTAAAATGTATTATTACCTATCATTAGTTTTCATCAACATATAAATGGGTTGGCCAGGTGGATCTTAACACATGTGTTGGCTCCTTGGCTGACTACTCTAGCTGAGTGATTCTCAAAGTGTGGTCAGGACCAGCAGTATCAGCATCCAGTGGAAGCTTGTTAGAAATGCACATTCTCATACTCACACCAGACCTGCTGTACTCTGGAGACTGGAGACCTAGCTGTCTGTCTGTAGCCCTCCAAGTGATTATGTGTGTGCTTGGGTTTGGAAACTATGGCTTTCATTCTTCAGAGTTAATGAGTTTTTTTTGAGAGAGGCTGGGGCTGTGATTCACCCTTTCCCTACCTCCTTTGCCTAAGGAACCCCTACAGCAGCTCGTCCACTCTCTTCTCCCAGTAGGTGGGGAAGGGGCATTGAGGGAATGTATCCTCTACATCTAGCAGAGGCCTTTCCTCTGGACTTTGGTTTTGGACCCTCACTAGATACCATCTGACAGCTCATCTGCCCCATCTTCATTTGCTTCATCTGCCTGTGGTTCATGCTGAGATTTGTAGCCAGAACCTGCTGTGTTTCTGTTAGGTCTCAGTGAAACAAATCATCATACAGTATTTCTTGTGATCATCCCAATTAATCAGTCCTCATTCTTTTGGGCACCAAATCAAATGAATTTGGCTTTTCATACCAATTTAGTTGTTAATCTGCAACTCTGGTGTCTAGCAGTTTGCCTTGGCAGGCCACACTTTCTGGGATGGCAATTACATGTGTGTTCTTTTTGTCTTTGCAGGAATGAGCTAGAGCGACAGTTTCTTGAATTGCTCCAGTTCAACATCAATGTTCCTTCCAGTGTTTATGCCAAGTATTATTTTGATCTTCGTTCTCTGGCAGAAGCAAATAACCTGAGCTTTCCTTTGGAGCCTCTGAGCAGGGAGAGGGCTCACAAGCTTGAGGTAACATATTTCAATATATTGGTTTTTGGTGCACTTATTGCTGACACGTCCATTGGGTACCATGGAAGGGTGTGATCACAATGGTGATTTCTCTCACTGTGTGTTATTACAAAATAAGGAAAAAGTTATGATCTAGAGCTCATCAATTAATTTAGTTGATTATAATTTATATTTGCACCCTTATATTTGCACATATTCTTAATACTAGTTTTTATTCAATATGCATTGATTCTATTTTTTAAATCAAGGGTATTTTTAAAGTTTGTGTTTAAAGAAAAATAAGCCCACAAAAATGACTCCCCAGCATGCACTTTTATAAGGAAAAAGATACTAGAAGTTTCTGATTAATAAAGGATTGGTCCAGCTCTTTATTTTTTCAAATAAGTTTCCCCACAGGCCAGTTAGAATTAGGACCAGCCCTTTTGGTGTTGGTTTGGGTTTAAGTCCATCATCATTATGTTGTATAACTTTTGTTTGACATTGTTACATTGTATGACTCATACTTGTATGGAGCTCAGCTCCATATTTGCACCTAGCTCTTCCCATCTTATTTTTTGACTGGATGAAAAGTGGTGAGGTAATCAAAGGCTCACTAGTGAAACAGCCCTCCTCCAGAGCAGGTGTGCAGAGGCCCTCTGCATTTTCCTCTCTGGGCAGGGTGTTGGTCTCATTACATAGAACCTTTGACCAAAGCAGTAGATGGTACTGCTTTGGTACCATCATAGTAGATGGGACCAAGATTGGTGAGATTCAAGAGATCCATGCTGCCTGCCCCATCGCCCCCTTTGCTCCCACATTGCCCAGGCTCCCCCTGCACATGCGTCTAGTCACAGCCTCCCCATGAGGAGGTCCCTGTTATTGCCTCATTTAGACAAGGATGCTAAGGACTTAATTGGGGGCACATACCCAGGTTGCACACCCCTAAGCATCAATCTTGGAACTGGCTGACCACAGGCTATACTGTCTTATAGTAGTTTAACATTTTGAGATTGTTTTCTCAGACTGTAAGCACTTTGGAAACAGGGATTTTTATCTACACCTTTGTATCTGCCCTGTGACTGGCAGAGTCTGGGCTGTGGGATGTGAACCAGCTGGGGCAGGGCCTCTTCCTGGTTTCGTGCATGAGTAGTACCTCAGTGCCTAAAAGGATACTGCTCAGAGCAACACTTGGTGTCTGATGAGTAAGTGGATAGAGGGAGCTTTTAGGGTTTAGCCCTGACCTGAATTGTCTATTTTTTTACCTCTCAGGCCATCTCTCGCCTCTGTGAGGACAAATACAAGGACCTAAGGAGACCTGCAAGGAAACGGTCAGCCAGTGCTGACAATCTGACTGTGCCGAGGTGGTCCCCAGCCATCATCTCCTAACTGTGGGTGTCCCCACTGGAAGCTGTACTATCCCTTAGTTTCTCCTTTAATTTGAGAAAAGACAGACTTATGATGGTTTTGTTTTTTGTTTCTTTCCTTTTTAAATTCATAGTTCCATCAGGCTGCCTTGATTACTGCCTTCATGCTTTGTGGTCCACATGCAGCAAGGCTTTGAGGGAAGCAAAATCAGTATTCTGGAAATTCTGTTTCACAATTTACCCTGTCGTCATTAACAGCACTTTGTTTGTGAAGAAAAAAGACTCTAATCCTGGAGGAGGAAGTAAAAGGGGAAGAGAAGTTGTTTAGAGGCAGGAAAAATGGCTAAATTACATGGCCATTTCTTAAGTCCCCTATCTGGTCAGTAGGTGAATACAAGGGAAAACACAGCAGTAGGCAACACAGTTAGATGTGCATTAAAGACAAGAGTACTGCCTTTACCACCTCTGTCTGGATCAGTGTGTTCTGTAAGACTTCCTCCATTCCTTGTAGCTGCTTTTTTGGGATTTGGGTTTTATTTGTTGGTTTTTATTCCATTTAGGTTTTGGCCCCACACAACAGAGAATATAGTTTGTACCACGGCACAGACTTCCAAATAAATTGTACTGTTTGTTTCTTCCACACCCTTCCTGCGTGCGAGCTGTCTCCTGACAGCTTTCTTCCTCACAAGTGGGACACACTTTTTACACTTCTCTACAACTTTATACATTTTTTCTTCAGCAATGGCAAAATTAACTTGACTGTAATGCTGAACTAAAAGTGTCCCTTTCCCTCTTTATTCCTCACCCTACCCCTCAAAAAATTCTAGATAACATGGGTGCTTGTGCCTTCTGATTTTCATGCAGTTTTTTTTTCTGACCTCATGTCAGAGTTACAAATCAGTCAGTCCTTGTGGGCCAAGGAAACAAACAATGTGCAGTAGAGGGTGTCCTTGGTTGAGATTTTTTTCCAGAGTTGCTAAGTGTTTGCCTGAAGTTACTGGGTAGGAGTCACTTCCTTGTACTCCCTGCCTAATTCATCCCTATATTTCCACATCCATTGTTGCAAGCAATATTCTTATCAATTTTTATATGTTTACTTTAAATCGAAGTTAGTCTATTTGTATAAATGTTTTTAAAAATCTAAAATTAAAAAATGGGGTGGGGTAGTTCAGCGGGAAGATCATTGAAGGGCAAAATGATACTATTTACTGAGGTATTTTTCACAGAATGATTGAATAAAAACTTGCATTTCATTGTGGGTGCTTAGAGAAGTTATACAAAAGTCACACTCTGAAGGTTTATGTTTCATTCATCATGACCATACTTTATTGTTTTCTGACTATCCCTATTTCCTTATGGGCTAGATAAGAATCTTTTGTATCAAGTAAAATAAAAGGGTTAATGATCCAATATCAAAGAGTAAATTTAGTGTTAAGTGTAAGAATCCGAGTCAATGAAGCATATAATGCTTTGGGTTTTTGCATATTTTCTCGGGTCACAATGGCTGGCAGAGGTTCTAACTTCTTTCATTTTTCAAGTCTCTGTGAGGCACATGGCAGCCGATACTCTGTGTTTCATCTTCCTCCTGTGTGAGCTTGGAAAACTGTGGAATCTCAAATACCCTTTGGAAATGGAAGGGATTCAGAAAGTTGAAATCCCAAGAACACCAAGCTGAAAGTCCTAGTCAGGTTTCCATGAAATTTGTGTCATGCGTAAACACTATCAGGCCAGAAATATTAAGTTCTTTCAGACCTAACTTTCAAAGCAAGCAAGTAGAAAAGAAAAAGTCAATTACTTTTCCATTGTAATTGTGTTGATATACTCTTCATGGATACCAAAATCAGCATCTCTCTTCAAGAAAGAGTTGGATTTAGAACTTTAGAGCTCTAAAACTATAGAAAATATCATTTTATATTCCCTATTCTATAGAGCTTAAAAAAGGGGACATATTTTCTTAGCTGAATATGAATACCTCTTAAACATAAATTAGTTCCTCTCATGTAAAGTATCTTATTTTACCGATTCATTCAGGAAAGAGGTTCTGCTGCCTTTAAAGCAGAAATCTTATTTTTATCCCTTTTATTTGAATGAGAGAGATTTGAAAATTGAATTATGTAAATATGTCAATGCATCTGCTATTATTTTGTGGAGTTTATTAAACTACTTTAAAAATTGTATAGTCTATATATTGTATGTACATATAGTCTGATAACTTAAAATTTAAAGTGAATCCCATAAAACCTGGCTCAGTCTTTGTTCAGACTATTGAATATTGTTTTAGCCTTGTGCACTGGACTCTACCTCTGTATAGGAAAATTTTCCATATTCATTAATAAGTATTGATATGTATTAATTGGTTATGTTTCTTGCACTAAGGATTTTTTAAAACTCTTGCTGTAAGTGTAGATTTTACTTTGCAGTATGAGTCACTTGACACATAGGTAGATACTTCAGGTTTGTTTTATTTTTCTACATGATGATGAAGACAACATTTTGCTCTCTGGTTTGTTCTAAGTTTGCCAAAAAAAATACACCAAAACCAAAACCCAACAACAGTAGAAGTACAGTACCTATTGATAAATCGTAGTGACTGTAATTTGTTTGCTAGATGATTCAGTCCCCTACAATTAAAGCTGGATTACTCTTTAGGCATACATTGTCTTAGTGTAGTTTTTGAATGCACAGTTTTTGTCACTAATGAAGGATGAAGAAAACCACACAATTTGTTAACTTTAAGTTTAGATTTGACTTAAGTCACTGGAGAATAGGATATCCAATGAGAGTTTTTTTTGGTTTATTTAACTTTTCTTTTTAACCAGAGAAAAGGAAAGAAGTCAGGGATTTAAAACCAAATTGGAGGGCAAGCTGGGAGATCCTACCAAGATGGAGATGTGCTCTCCTGCTTCACCGCACAAAGTCAGAGCTTGGACTGCCCTCTTCTCCCTCAAGGGCTGAACGCACAAGCTTCTTCCTGGGGCATTGGCAGGACCCTCTCCATCTTGGGGTTTCCCTTGGTTTTGGGGATGTTAATCCTCAGCTGGGCTGCAAAGCAAAATTTGGGGAGTGAGTGATTTCCATCCTTTCCCACTTCTTTTTTAAATATCATTCCTGGTTCATTGTAGGTATTTAATTGTTAAATAAATAAATACATAGAACAAATAGTGCCTGCCTTCTTGCTGCATTTTTTGAATATTGGTATAAAATTTAACAGGTTTTATGGCTGCAGAGTAAACTTAGTCCTGTGAGCCTTGAGTGGCTCAAAGAAGTACTAAGACATGTTAGAGACTTCGGGCAGTTGAGATGGTTGCACGATAGAGACCTATCTGAGCACATCCCATCTATAGTGATGGCTTATTTCAGGGGTGTCAAACTCATTTTCACTTGGGGTCCGTCCCATCAGCCTTGCTATTGTCTTCAAATGGCTGAATGTAATTTCAACTCCTTAACAGTTAAGGACTGGTTACATTTATATACTCCTAAAATTACACTGGCTCTTTGAAAGCAACTGCAAGGCTGATAGGGCTCCCAGTGAAAATGAGTTTGACACCCCTGGCTTATTTTATCTTTCATCACCTTGACTTCATTGGAGTGTATCAGGACTCATGTTGGTAGATCTTAGAAATATGATCATCTGAAAAGCCAACCAAAGAGCCCCCTACCATTCTTGAAAAACAGGAGGAAATGGAAAACATACCCCTCAGCTGAAATGGTAAAAGGATACTTAACTGACTTGGCATTTATATTTTAAGCTATATGGATTGCAAGCAAAGCCCTACACACATCTGCATTAAGATCTTGGTTTGCTTTTACTGAATATGCAGTTACTAGAGCTGTTGAACCTGAAAACAATCACCTCAGAGGTGCCAGACAGGCCTCAGACAGGGATGTAAGAGTGCTCACAGCCACAGAATTGGTGACAGAGTGTGGACCTGAGCAGGTCAGATGTCTTCCTTTCCAGTCTTTCCTGTTCAGTTTTCTTACTAAGTTTGTATATATGAAGTTGTTAAAGGTCTACTATGTCACTTCTCATTAGAAACTTTCTTCAAGAGTTTAGTGATCAGCACCAAAGTGAAATGCTTTTATTCACCTCTCAGTTGAAAGAAGATGGCAGCTGTGTCTGTATCGCTGTAAGTCTGAGCTGTGAGTGCCCAGGTGAGGGTTTGTCCTGGCAGCCGTATTGTCCACTGCAGGTTTGTATAGAAAACATTCTGGAAGAACCGGTTACAGTGAGAAATGACTCCGACAAAGCACCTGACTAAATGCTGTTAGAGGTCTCAGCTTTCTTGCATCCTTTAGTGACTTGATGTGGGTAGAGGGTATTATTCCTTTGAAGTATTTTATATGAATAAATTTGCAAACACAGGCCAAAACAATGGCATTCCTAAGTGAGTATCAATTTGGACAAAGATATTCAATGTAACTAGAACATTGTTAATGTTGGTATTGATTTGTATTGCATGGAACCTTGGGTTTTAGTCTCAATCCAAAATTGACTTGCTGTGTGACCTTGGACAAAATACTTCACTTCTCTGGATTACTCAGTGAACTTGCCTGGTGAGATACACTTCCTGGTTGTTTTCACCACCTGCCTTTCTGTGTTCCTGAACACACTCTATTTAACCACACTTCAATCTTGATTGTTGGATGCTCTTGCTCATGGAGTTAGGAAGGCTGTGAAAGATAAGTCCAAGCCTAGTTGTGAATTTCCCAGGGGGAGATCAATTGTCTCTTGCAGGGTCCCCTGCTAAAGAAGAATGGCAGTTGGTAGGTAGAGCTATTCTTATGTGAACAGCATGGGTATCCAGATTTCAGCTACCTGTTTTTCCCAGGTCTACCCTAGTGCAACTGAATGTCCAGCATGTTCTCTAGTTAGTTTTTCCTGGCCCTGGCTTGTGGGTTCTTGGGTGTTAATGGATATGGAAAATCTCAAAAGAGTGAAGTTGGGTATAGCAATCCACCCCAAATGGATCTGACTGGAAAAGATGCTTCATCATCCTCAACCCCCGATTGAACTTTCGTATACCTGCAAGACAGAAGCTCTGGAATCCCAGCCTTGGAAGAGGATTCTCCTCCTTCTTCATGGCACTTCCCATCAGTCCAGGAGGATGGGAAATATGGACACTTGCAAGCTTCCCAAAATCTGCCCCCTGCTTACCAGCTATACTTAAAATACTTGCATTTTGGCAGACCAGAGAATTGGGGTCTGCTCTAAAGAGAAAAGCATCATTTGAGGCCTGCGTATGGTGAGACAAGGACTGCAGGATTAAGAGACCCAAGGATGAGGTATTGCCAGGACACTTGGACATTTGACCTGACAAGTCTTGCAGTTTTGCTGGATATTGAGTTGCTTCATCTTTAACTCAAAGAAATGTGTCACTCTTTATATTACTCTTAAGAGCATTTCTACTAACACTCAATTATTGTATGAATAACTTATTTCTGGAATTTCTAGGACCAGT